AAATCCCAGGCAAAAACATGGAAAGGATTTGCTGACAGGCCTCCATACTTGGCCGAGAGAGAATGGCTCTGTTTGATTTCTATTTGTTCCAAGGAACAAATCTTGGCTAATGCATCTCATGCATGATATTAAGAAACAGAGCCTACTGGTACATTCCAGATTTGAATAGGTCTGCAGCCACATGAGGTATGAAACACTTGCCAAATGTACGGAGTCTACCCTCCAAATTCAAAGAGTAATTTCCCCATGCCTTGAAATAGGAGCATTTATTTCCAAACTCTGGAGATTCACATGCATATCTACATCTAATGAAGCAATCAACCTTGTTACAAAGTGGCTGTGGATAGGCTCTTTATTTTTGAGATGTTGCTAGAGGAAATGTGCTTTGCCACCCAGTGGATCCTGTTGATGAGAAACAAAATGGTGGATCCTTGGTGCTCTCTGAGCTTGGTTGTTGTCTTGCAGACATTTTGTTGTACTCTTTTTAACTCTACTCCCTCCTGTCACTGAAGATGTTACCTAGTTGGGTCAAGAAACGTCTGCAAGGAAGCAACCAAGCTCAGAGAGCACCAAGGAACCCTCATATATCAACCCTGAGCTACAAAGATTCTCTTCTATTGGAACAATTTGCCAAAATAAAAATATGGACCCACATTTATTAGATTATTCAATAATATTTATTCATTATTCATTACCTCTCCTTGTGTCATTTCTGCTAGCTATATTAGCTTTCCTAAGTAGCCTCTACCAGAATGGATGCATTGCTAACTGGGAATTCTTGGAAATGGAATCCAAACTGGGAGGACACCAGTTTAAGAAGACAGCATTAATTCTATTAATTCTATCATTAATTCGAGTGGAGTCTATCATTTAAAAAGCCTCTATATACCTCTGTAATGAGCTCATTTTATCTTTTTCCTCCTGCACTAAAACAACCAGATTGTTGAAACTATAATCAGAAACTTTCCCCAACCGTTCTAATTGCTTTGCTGTCTCATTTCCAGAATTGCAGTCTTCTGTTTGGAAGATGGTAGCCAAGCCAAAATTAATAAGAAAAAATGGCCAAATAACACCTGAACTTTCTATCCATTGTGAAATGATTATGTTGCACTGCTATTGAATCAATTACCACAAATAATAACAGCCACAAGGGAGCTGAATGCGACCATCAGTGATTACCACAGAACATAATATATGGAACCTGAGAATCCTGTAGAAAAATAAATAGAGCATCTTTGAAGATAAGTTTGATTATGGAAAGGGCAAGTCTAACATGGAAATAAGATGTCATTTTATATCTAGATCTCTTAAAACCAGTTTAGGCTTAGAGTATGAGCTAGTTTCTTCAAAATGAAGCCATACAGAGGGTCCAAATCTAATGGAATCTCAGCATCATCTTTCCCAACACAACAATAATTCTCCCAATTGAGTTAGGAAATGTTCTTCATGAACACAGAGGCATTCTATAGTGCTCTTAATTCATGTAAAAACGTGGCTGAACAAACCAATTATGGAAGATTGGAGAATGTCCCCAACTCCTGAATTTTGGGGCCAGATGCCAAGAAGAAGGAAAAAAGGGGCATTAGCTTTTGTAATCAATCAGTTTGTGTAAGCATTGTATGTCAAGACACCATGGAACAAAGTCAACTTCTGGGTTTTTCATAGCCTCGCTTCCTGTAGCTTCCAATCTAGGTGATTTTGAGAAAATACAGGATTTCAATGCTGAAAAATTGCCTGTTTTGTGTTGTGAGCAATGTTGAAGTCTAGCTGGCTTCGGCATGTAAGATAAGGGAACAATTTCCCTGCAGTCCCTCATATAATGGAATGGTTCATTGTTGGCTTATCAGTGACTAAAATCTACTGGATTTGGGGGAATTGTACAGAACTTTTAATACATTAAAAAAATGCCAGGCAGGCTGGGGGGCATTTTCTCATCAACATTGTGTAGTAGAAGGAGTTTCTTGAAGGGGGAAAGTTTGAAAATCTCTGTTTGGGTAGTTTCTTTATTTTCCAAACTTTTCATGTTTGGATTTTGCAACTGTGGTGAATGTTGATTCATATAACATGTCACAGTTTGAAAACTTTGAAATAAACAATTTTCCATTTGACATAATGTAACTTATTCGTGAATAAAGTATACCAGCTTCCAATATTGGTTTCTTTCCACCATTTTATATGAATATTTGGAAATCAAAGCGTGTTAAAACTGACGTATATAGAAGGCACTAACCTACAAATGAAATGTACTCTGTAGATTTACCTGCTTCTACACGTTGCTTGGCTTGCATTACTTTGAAGTTGTCAAAGTATTTAATTTTCTGTCAACTTTATTTAAAAGTTTTGCTTGGATAGAAGTTCTGCGGTGATATTTTACGGTGATTTAGTTATACATTATTTACACTAACAAAACATTCGGTTCATTTGCTTGGAAGGTAGCTGCATTTTGAAAATGACATTCTTTGAATTCTGTGTGCTACTTTGACATGATTCCTTCCTTTCGATCACCCTTTTTCCAGATCTAGATTTAGAAGTTATTATAACCGGCTGTAATTGCAAATTGCATTAGAAAAAAAGATCTATTCAATTCAGATAAACAAAAGACCCAGGAAATGTGGAGTGCCAGTTTACTGTAAATCTGCGATCCGAAACAGGCATATTAAGGTGGAGGGTTTATATCTGAGTCATGCAGGATGTCTGGCTACTGTTAAATAAGCCCAGGGCTTCCTTTTCAGAAAGTTGTCAAGACATATGCTCAAATTCCAGATATTTGCAAATTGAAGAGGGGAGGGCAGGAGAAGGGCCGACATTCCAAACCCTGAGTATTTGGGTCGCAGAATTTACCTTCAGGAGAGTTCCAGGGGTACATCAAATATTTGGATTTGAGGTCTCAGGTTAAAAGGCACCAGGTTTTCTCAGCAGAGGCTCAAGAGCCACGCCTGGAAAATCGTAAATTCCATCCGAGTGAGGCAGCAGGCCCTCCGGGGAAGGGCAGCCGGCCGGGCCCTTGTGGAGTCAGAGTCCTGGCTGAGCTCTCTGAAGTCAGTCTGACTGCAAGCAGGTTGTTTGGGTGAAGTATTATAGGGGAAAATAGAAAGCCCTTTTGGGAATGCAGGGAAATTACCTGACTGGTAAGGATACAGTAACAGGGAGGCCTTCTACTCACAGTGCTTTCTCTCTGTGGAAACTAGATCCCCCGACTTAATATCAGGGGATGAAGTTGTCAGAAGAACACCTAAACAATCTTCATTGTATCTGTTTATTTCTTAGATTATTATCCCACCTTTCTTCCCTTATTCAATCAATGCAGTGAATCTATCTCTTTCCTTTATGTATCTTAAAGTGGATTTGGAAAAAGTAGTAATGTCAGGGAGGGGAAAACGTTTTTTCCTCTCTCTGGGCCAATAAGTGTCACTTCAGCTTTTTTCATGGACGAGAAATCATGAACTATCACATGAGGTGGCTGAAATCTTCGGGAACTTGGGTCTGGACCCCTAAATTCTCACAAGGTCTCAGAGGAGAATACGGAAGTCTCATGCCATCGGGTGTGTCACTAGGAATCAAGTCTGACTGGAAGCTCTCTTTACCCACCCACCCAAAAAAAGTCCTACTCAGAGGGTTTGTCTGAGCTCGTGAGTCATTGACAGTGGGTTGAAGATGGAGTGGGATGCTAATCCTGGCCTACTGTCTCTAACGTCCATGGACTTATCCAAGAAGGTCTGAAATGGTACTTAAATGGATCTGAAAGTGAATGCACTTTTGAAGAGCTGAGATCTTATTTTATGAGAATCCCGTCCTCCTGGGAGGCCTAGGTGCCAGCTTATGGAAATCAGAGAGAGAAAGAGAGAATGAGAGAGGGAGAGAGGGAGAGAAGGGATGGGGCCACAAACTCTTCAATCCTTTTGGCTTCCTGGCGAAAGAACATCTCGAGAGAAGGACTGTTCCAGGGTTCAAAGCTCTTTATGAGTTCTCCTTCCAAGAAGCCTGAATCTGAAAAAAGAATTTCTGATGAAGCCTGCAGGATGTCACAGCTTGCTTGGGAAATACCAGATGTTCGGGGTCCTTCAACCCTCCTAGTGCTTTATATCCATCACCAGTCCCTATCATATCTCACTTTCTCTGACTTCCATGCTAATTGAGCAGAAAATAATCAAAACTCCTTAAGCTGTTTTCCATTTATCTCAATTCCCTGGCCTCTCGATCTGTTTCTCCTGAAATGGGACACGTTTCTTGCTCAGATACATCTCAACTGACATGGCTTCTTCGCAGGAATTACCCCAGAAATAACTTGAGCAACAGAAGGAGGCAAAAATATTTTCCAAAATTCAAAGATTTGATTCCTAATTTTATATTTGCCAAATTGTATATGCTCTGAAGAAGAAGATATGTTTCTTCAAGGATGTACACAAATGCACACATTTACTTTAAAAGCATTTTCAGACATCCGCAGTACCTCTTCCTTTGGGAAAAATTAGTAGTCTTTTATACTTCTACTAATTTACATTAAGTTTTGACAAACAGAATACCCCTGTCGTTTACCAGCGACAACTAACTGTAATCATAAAACATAAGACCCCAATTTCTTCCGTATAGTTGAACTGTGTAGGTCCAGATCAGTCAACTGGAAACGGATATATTTGATGAAGTGTCCAATTTGGAATTGAACTTCATTTTGGGAGTTAGTGCATCCTGAGAAGATGACTATTCCAGCCGTCTGAACTTTGGAACCAGGTTGTAAGTTGCTTTTTCAGGGTCTCTGAAAATGTGATTACACCTGGTTCAAATAGGATCAATTTATCTCAGACTACTGTATTTATGTATCCCTGATGAGGGGTGGGGGTATCACTGATTTGTGGTCATCGTAAGTATTTTGAGCTTTTAAAATATAATGCGTAGCCTTCAAACAATTTATTCTTCTGCCAAAGCGTTTTCCAAGCTCTGTTTGCTAAAAGATGATCTTTTATTTCTCTTTACAGACCTCTGTTGGGTGAACTAAGAGAAGACAAGTTTTCTGCAATATGAACAGAAGGCAAAATTGTGAAGGCATGAACAGGGCGGGCATTTCCAAGCCACAACTTCTATGTCTACTTCTATTGGGGGGGATTCTGCTCTTCTCGGCTGAGGGGACCTCAAAGCACCATGTGCCAAGACTTAAACTGTCTTACAAAGGTAAGAGTTCTTTTTTTAACGCCCTCTGTTTACTCTTCTTAGGCTTTTCAATGTAACGTATGTTTATTTAACAGAACAGAAATAACAAGAATTGGGAGGGACCTTGGAGGTCATCTAGTCCAATCTCCTGCACAATCAGGAGGCCCTTTACAATTTCAGACAAACGGTTTGTCCATTTTCTCTTCTTAAAAGCCTCCAGTGACGGAGCAGCCACAACGTCTGGTGGCAACCTCTGTCCCACTGGTTGGTTGTCCTCCCTGTCCAGAAGTTTCTCCTTCGTTCTAGGTTGCTTCTCTCCTTAACCAGTTTCCATCCGTTGCTTCTTGTCCTGAATCTGGATAAGGCTGGTTATTTTAAATTAGGTTACTTCAATCAATTTGTATTAATTTACCAATTTTACACTTACAGATTTATTTGATGGTGAAGTTATCCATTCAGTTGTGTCCAGCTCTTGGCAATTCTAAATGGCCAGGTCTCCCCACATTTTCTAATAGATTTATTTAAAGCTGTATAAATGGTCTTTTTATATATTTTATGCTGGTCAACTACCAAAGTTTCATTGAGTAAAATGTTGCACAGAACAAGTGCTGTTAGATCCAGCATGGTTGGGATTTGTGGTGTTTGTTCTGGCAGCGACTTTCCTATTACATTTTTCAGGATATGTACAAGATAATTTATCTTATTAAATAAAAGTGTGCAACACAATTGTCACCAGACCTTCTGAAAATGGAATTTACTTGACCAAACAAGACTTTTCAACACAAATCTTTATTTGGTTTTGTTTTGTTTAGGTTGAGTAGAAATGTCTGGCAATAGAGTTAAAGATTTGTGAAACTGGCTTTAGGAGTCCTTCGCTGATAATGTCACAATAAAATGCCATTAAAAATCAACACTGCTAAGACAGTAGCTTAGAAAGGTGCACAAAATGGTTTAATATAAAAGCCGCAAACATACGAAATGATAGGAGATCCTCCCTTGCGGATGGCAAATTCTTTAAGTCCCTTTATGCTTTTGGTACTGAACAAAGAGACTTCAAAATAGTGGCTTTCTTTTGAGAATGGGATGCAGGCCTGATGCGCTCCTGAATTCTCTGGTGAACTCCGTGGCTGAATTAAGAAAGCATTTTCCAGTTTTGCCCCTTGCTGGTTTTTTTGGGTGGGGTGAATCTGCAGCCTTCCTAGTCAAAGAAGCATTGGCATTTCCCCCCCTGGTTGAGACATTGCAATTGTTCTGAAGGAAGTCAAAAGCTTTGATGAAACATCTCCCCACCAACACGGTTTCCAGAGGCTGGAAGGAAACTCCCAGCTGCAAGCTTGGAGAACTGATGCCAGAGGGACTCAGCCTAAGTGGATAATAAGTACTTTTTCTGATGCTTTTTCTCCCAATTTTAGATGCTAAATATGGATGGCCGTGTTTCTGTCTTCTGCGTTTCCTCTCTGTTAATTATCCCTTCCACCGTCCTGCAGCCCAGCCTTCCCTCAGTGACATCAGTGGCTTATGCAGCAGCTGAACTAAGAATAACCTTTGAGAACTGACCCCTCTCGGTTTCGTGACAGTGTAAACAGTTATGAACTTGCCCAAGTTTTGTTTTTTTGGAATTGCAAGAGGGTCTCCGTTGGAAGCGGGAGGGAGGGAAGGGGAAACAAATATTTCTCCACGAGATACGCCCCATCATTCTCCAGTGGACTTGGCTGGGTCCCAGGAGATGAGATAGGACATGGCTTGGAAGGAGAAAGAAAGGGAGGTGGTGGAGACAGCAGGACAGCTAGCTTAAACCTAGAAGGATGGCTTCTCTTCTTCTTCTCTCCAAGGCTTTGCTTCCTTTCACCAAGAATGTCTGGCTACACTTGACCCACAGATTTCCTATACATCTTGGCAAGGATGGCCAGGCAGCGACTTGTATGATATGATAGGATGCATAGAGTTTCCCATCCTACTGAAAGGGAGAACCGAGAAATACCAAACACGATGGCAAATTGGATTCTGTGACAAGATGGCAGCAGCCAGTAGCAACTTTCAAACCAGCTGATTAGTCAAAAGTCCAATTGCAGCAAAATATACCCTGGCCTGGGCTACTAGCTAGCTGTACTTTAGACCTACCTACGTATTGGCCCTGTTTCCCTGAGAAGATTGGCTCTTTCTAAATGCCACCTTGGAGCCCCATTGGAGGTAGAGGTTGAATAAATCCAGGAGGGCTATATATGTTGGAAGGCAAAAATGATGCCTCAAAGCCCAGGTTGATCTATGGGAATTAGTTGCTAAGCAGAGTGATGTCATGGGGAGAAGATGTGCTTGTGTGCAGTGCTCCATAGCGTTGTTTTGAGTGAGGGGTCTGTTTGAATGTGAGGGGTCTGTAGATATTTTCACAGCCCTCTTTCTGGCTTGTGCAGTAAACAGGTCTTCAATGGAAGGCAGGTTGGGAGCAGTTGTTTTTTCTGCAGTTCTAATTATGTGCGCCTGTCTTGTTTGGTTGCAGAACCAAACCAGACCGTTATAGAGGTGCAAAAGAAAGACTCAATAATTCCTCTGTAGAACTGGATCAGCAGCTCCTGGGGCAGTCTGAGCTTTCTGAGTTGATGCAGGAAGAACATTCTTAGTCGTGCTTTTTTGATATTAGGTATCCATTTTAAGTTTTGAGATATTATAGAACCTAGAAATTTGAAGGTCTCTACCAGTGGTGGGATTCAATTTTTTTTACTTCTGGTTTTATGGGCATGGCTTGATGGGCATGGCAGGGGAAGGAGACTGTAAAATCTCCAGTCAGAGGGGTTATTTGCTGGTTCTCCAAAGTATTCAAAATTTCTGCTTTTGGTTCTCCAGAACTGGTCAGAACCTGCTGAATACCCACCTCTGGTCTCTACTGTTGATGCTGTGTTGTCTAGTATTGTAAGAGGTATAGAATAGGAAGGTTTCTTCTAAAATCTACCACCCTGTCTATGGTTTTGAGTGTGTTTTGTTCATGATTACATTAAATCAAGCTTAATTTTTAATTTTGTTTCTGGAATGTGGGTCTTGGATGCCATCAAGACTTAAGCGCACCCTTCGGACTGAGAGATAAATGTGCAGTCACATTCGAATGTTAAGCTTAACTCCATCATGATCTGTTTCTACTATTTCCCTCCAGATTGGCTTTTCCTTAATATGATGAAATCTTCTTCCTTTCTGGATTGATTCATAGAAGCTTTGCATTTAATTATCCTGACTCACAGTACCTTTTAAGCATCTCTGCCATTTTTTTTTCCTGGCAGCTGATGAATTGTAAGGTCATCTGTTTTCAGATAAACCTGAAATCCAGGCTTGTCCTTTTTTTAAAAAAAAAAAGCTGACGAGAGAAAGAGAAAGAGAATATGAATTATTCAGGCATACGGGGCAAATCATCCATTACGGTAATTCCTAAGATTGCACTGTAAGGAACTCAAAAGATCTCTAGGGTCTCCTCAGCAGGCAGCATTCAATGAAATTTGCCAGGGGCATAAAAGGTTTCATTTCTTCTTTTATAGTGCAGCCCCAGAGCTTCCATTCAAATGAACTTTTGCATATTTTTCCCCAGGGCTGAATGGCAAGGAAGCTAGAAAGCTAACAGAGTTGTAAAAGATGGGAGCAGAGATTGAAGTGACTGTTACGAATTAAAACCCGCTTGTTTGTCGCATTTCCAGTTAAGAGAGATAAGAAAGACGGAATCAGATCCGCAAAAGGCTTCCCACTTAAGGCCAGCGGCTGGATTTGACTATGTGCGCCGAATGGGGTGGCATTTAGCCATTTTCCGCTTTATTTGTTCTTTTGCACAGTGGGAAGCCAAGTGGTGGCGCTTGGGCCTTGCGTTGCTCATTCTCTTCGGTCCTTGGGACGCTCGGAGTGTATGAGGAGGCACAACTGGCAGGGCCCAAGTGTCTTGGCACACGCCTCTGAGAACGGCTGTTGTGTGTTGGAATGAGCTCGTCTTTCAATAAGCTCTTCTGTCCTCTCTGTACAGTAGACCCACACAAAGTAATGCTTTCTTCCAAGCATCAATGGCCACACAGCCAGCCTTGGCACCATGCGCTGAGGGTCGGAGGCGATGTGCTATACCAGGGGTAGGGAAACTTGTATATTTGTATATTATAAATGTATATTAATATACATTTGTATATTAAACAGTCCCATTCAAGTCAAACATTGATTTCCCTCACAACTGAAAAACCAGTAGGCCAGGGATGGGGAACCTTTTATGGCTCACTCAGGAATTCTGGGAGTTGAAGTCCATCAGTGATAAAAGAGCCACGTTTCCCTACCCCTGGGCTATATTCCATGCAAGGAGTCAAGCCAGGGTTTGTGCAGGCATGTGCTGCAGAGGGACAGAAGACTCTGAAGAACCAGAGAAACAATCGCAGCCGAAGAACAGAGTTGGAAGGGACCTTGGAGGTCTTCTAGTCCGACCCCCTGTTCAGACAGGAGACCCTCTACCTTCTTCTTAAGAGTCTCTTCTTAAAAGCTTCCAGGGATGGAGCAGCCACACCTTCTGGAGGCAAGATGTTCCACTGGTTAATTGTTCTCACTGCCAGGAAATTTCTCCATAGTTCTAGGAAGCAAAGCCACCAGTTGGCCTGATCTGGGAAGGAAGAGCTTTTTTCTTCATCCTACGCAGCTACTTTGCTTGGGTGGTTGGAGCGGATCTCTATCCAATCACCATGGGAAGCTTTGCGGAAGAATGGCATGAGAGTGTAAGCCCTCTAAACATTCACGTGCTTCTGTCTTTCATTTGTTCAGTCTCTCTCCTGCCTTCCTGCCTTCCAGAAGCTCAAGGCAGATTAGATGCAGTCTCCCTTCACTTTATCCCAACAACAATTCTGCAGAGGCAGGTCAAGAAGCAACGGATGGAAACTCATCAAGGAGAGAAGCAACCTAGAACTAAGGAGGAATTGCCTGACAGTGAGAATGATTAACCAGTGGAACTTCTTTCCTCCAGAAGTTGTGGATGCTCCAACACTGGAGCAGCCCTTTGTCTGACATGCAATTGGGTTTCTTGCCTGAGCAGGGGGTTGGACTGGAAGACCTCCAAGGTCCCTCCCAACCTGTTACTCGTTTATTCTGAGAGGTAGGTTGGCCTGAGAAATTGGGACTAGCTTAGAGTCCCCCAGTGAACTCCCTGTGGCTGAGAGTAGAGTTGAACGTGGTCCTTATCAGATGCTTTACCCATTAGGCCATTCCAATTGTTGGCAGCTGCAATCCTGCTACCCCCAATATCCTCAGTGCTACTTTCTGGGTAAAGCTGTGATTACTAGGTGAAAGCAGACCATCCTTAAACCTGTTGCTTCCCCAGTCGCCTTTCCCTCGCAATAAAGGAGGATCCACTTTCCATTTGGAGGGAAGTCAACTTTCCTTCATTGACAGGCCTTCCTCTTCAGTAACCCTGAGCTTCACGAGACAATATACTACATGCAAGAATGTGATTAGGATGAGGAACACTTCTGCAAAACCTGGCTCTAGAGATGTGGTGGTCTTGCAGCTTCATATTGCAACGGGGAGGAATCCTCAATAAAAGAGGGTTTGGGGGACAATGCTCACTTCTCCATCACTGCTGCGGTGAGTTTGCAGGTGGCTGAAAGGGAAGAGAAGCAGGTGGGCCCAGTGGAGTAATTGGCAAAGCTCAGCCGGGGGCTCTGGCTCTGGACTGGGCCACAATCCTGCACGGAACTGGAGCTGGAACTGCATGGCGCTTTCAGCTGTTGCAAGGCTGGAGAGCAAGGAAGACTCCCCAATCCATGTTGCTTGGCCATGTGCAGCCTCTCGCTTGAAACGTTCCACGTGCACCCCATTGAAATGAAAGTTCTTATAATAGTTAACCCGCCTTTGTGAATCTTGATCAGGGTTTCTCAATCTCAGTGGTTTTAAGGCGGGTGGGGCTTCATCTTGGCTTCTGCTGGGTCATTTGCTACAAGATGGATGGCAAATAAACTCAATAAATAAATTCATAAGTGAATGAATAAAAAAATTCTCCCAGAATTCCCCAGCCACCGTGCTTAACACACTTAATACTAATAGTATATACTTAATGCATACTATGGTCTAAACTATCTTCCTTCCCTCAATGCTTAGTGTTGATGACATTAATACATTGGTGTGACGAGAGAAGTACCCACAGTTACTTTCATTCTTCACTTTTATTTTAAGATCAGGGGAAACGGAGGGTCTTTTCCAGGCCTCAGATCAACAGCTAAGCATGTAGACAATTTCCATGTTCTTTTTTCTTTTCTTTCTTTTTCTTTTAAAACCAGTACATTTTTAACTGCTTGAGTAACCTGGTGACTTTGCTTGGCTTGGCAGCAGCAGAAGTAAGATAAGCCGGGTTGTGAGAAGGGAACCTGGGCAAAGCCACAGCCCAAGGTCACCTTTGCAATGACCACTGTTTCAGCTTGGACACATTTTCATTCCCAATGTTTACAATCTCATTATTTGGACCGGCTACGTTCTGGGAACCGGGCTTATTGTTCTGCCACCAACCATTTGGAGGCCCAAACGAGCATTTCATCATCTGGGAAATAACCATTATAGGAGCCACAATGTTTTTAAAAGGCCTGTTTGCGCAGCTGTGCCTCCCGTCAATAATATTTTTATTTGAAAATATGACGTTCAAGTATGTCTTCACAGTCCTAATAGGAGCTGTGTTGTGCCTTTCCTGATTGCCTTGATGGCTAGGCTGGTCCTAGGACAGAGAAGGAGGCATTTCAAGGGGATGCATTTATTTATCCGGTGCACAGGGCTTCCCACATGTCAGGCAACGCCTTACGCAGCAGCGCGTGGTTTTTTCTTTTGGGAGAAGTCTAAAGTCCTCAGAATCGGTCCTGTTTGGCTTCAGTCCAAAGGGCTCATTACTGCAAATTCAGCGGAAACAGGGAGGCCGAATAAATAGGGCAACACCGCTGCTCTCAGCCTCCCAGAGGGCTCTTAGGTTGGAGGGCTTCAGATGTGATTCTGGAATGGACCATCCCTTCAACCTCGGGTGTCTTCCTGGGGTCACAACAAACCCATGGATGATGCTTGGAAGCAACTCCCTGGAATCAAATATGAAGCTCTGCCCAAGATGGAATACAGGATCTCCAAAGCACTTTGGGAAAATCTGAAGAGCTCCAGTGAAGGAAAGCACCCCACTTTCCTTAGTTGACCTCTCTGACTGGCAGGGATTTCTTCCTGCTATCTAATATCTGATTCTGCTTCCCGTTGTTTCTGGTCCTGCTTGCTGGGCCAACAGAGAGCAAGTCCCTTCTTCCTCCTTTTGATCTCCTCTGTTCTCTTCTGCAGGCCAAGCATTGCCCGTTCCTTGAGCCATTTCTTCTTGGATTTGTTTTTCAGATCTTCTGAACTTCCTACAGTTTATCAACGATAATTTTAGGTTGCAGTGCCCAGAATTGGGCATAATAATATGAACAGGGCAGAGGGACAATTTGTTCCAATTATGTATATATTATGCTTCTATGTACTGAAAAATTGCTTTTGCCCTTTTAGCAGCTTCCCTACACAATTCAGCTTTTCAAACTCTGTTCATATGTCAAGCTCCTTTCGATACTTGGACCTTTCATCCCCCCCCCCCCCCCCCCCCCCCCCCCAAGTTATTTCCTGTACAGGATCTATACAAGAGTGAAACAGGGTCACTTACACAGGTTGTGGGTTTTCCACCTCTGGAGACTGAGAAGTAGAACTGGAGAGCCACCTCGGAGGACAGCTTCCTTAGTTCTGCACGGTATAAGGAATTGGGCTAAATTAGTGTTTCTCAACCATGGGGACTTTAATGGCTGGGGAATTCTGGGAGTTGAAGTCCACTCGTCTTAAAGTTGCCAAGGTTGAGAAACTAGATGATTCTTGTAGTCTCAAGTCCACAGTTTGGTACTTTTTTGGTTCAAAGTGGAGGCATTTCTATCATAATAGTCAAAATGACTATCTAGCCCAAGGGTCTTCAAACTTGGCAAGTTTAGGATTTGTGGACTCCAACACCCAGAATTCCTGAGCTAACATGACTGGAGGAGGAATTCTGGGAGTTGAAGTCCACAACTCTTAAAGCTGTCAAGTTTGAAGACCCCTGGTCTAGCCAAAGACTGCAGCAGCCTGGAGGTGGAAAGTTGGATATCTTGTGAACATTTTTTTCCCAAACTAGAGAGTCCCAAATGCTTACAGAGATGACCTAACCTCAGTTTTGATAAACGTGGAGCTTATGAAAAGAAAAAAAACCCCTGCTGTGCTAACCTTCCTCTGCCTGTGGTCTCTAGGAAGAGATCTTTGCTAACTCAACTGAGTTATCTTAATCAAGATCCTGCTGGGCGCCTGTATTTATAGACGACACCAGTGATCCATGTTTATGCCTTCTCAGTTCCAAGGATTTTCTTCGTTCTCTCGCAGACTTGCTGCTTTCGAACAGCTGCGTCCCCTTCCTGGGCTCGGCGGAGGGGCTGGATTTTCGGACCCTGCTGCTTGATGAAGAAAGAGGTCACCTCCTGCTTGGCGCTAAGGACCACATATTTCTGCTCAGCTTAGTCGACTTAAACAAAAATGGAAAGAAGGTCAGTTGATAATTGTGTGTCCGTATTTACAGAACCAATAGCTCTGCCTCTTAATCAGTCTGCTTCCTCTCCCCGATTTCGGGAAAAGCTTGGATCGCCTGTCCTGTGCCATCACGTGGGTTTAATAATCTAACCACCTGTGGTTACGTAGCTTGCTTTTAATAAACCGAGTTTGTCAGCCTGCGGAGCCCTTGGAGCAGGAAAGCAATATAATAGCATAAATATTGGCTGGACTTTTGCCCTCGATGGAGCTAGAATGTAAACAGTTGTAACATCTTTCTCTGTCTTTCCCCATGTATTATGGCAGCTCCATCCAAACAGGGCCAGTCTTCATGTAGAACCACTCATATTTCAAGAGAAAGGATGGATAGATTCTTATTGTTAAAAGTCATCAAAAGACACACTGGGGCTCTTAGGGTTAATAGGGGAGGGAATGGATCACATTTGATTTAGCTCAGTTCTTCTTTTGTTCCAGAACTGATTCTAGTTCCTTTCTAGAACTAGTTCTTTGCTTGGATGTTTTTTTTAAAAAAAAATAGCACAAAAATTGTGTATGTGCAGTGATGTTGAAGTCCTAACTGAAGGTTTATTGCTACAGTCTTTATTTGTTCTGGTAAGAATGGCTTTGGCTTTGTTGTCAGGATTTCCAAGCATGTTAGATGGGAAGCAGATGCGCTGAACGATAAACCCTTTCCTATAAAACGTCAATATGCATTTGGTATAATTCGAAGTGACTTTACTCTAATCAAATACTTCTTTGAGATTTCATGGAAGAATAGGTATTGATACATTGAAGAAGAAAAACACGAGACCTTTTTTTGTGGGGCTGGCTATTCGAAATAGGGTGCCTCAAAGAGGGAAGAGGAAGGTGTGCGCTCAAATCACCCTCGGATTAGACTTTCAAAGAAACTCATTTAAGATGCAATCGTCCATTTTGGAGCACAATCCTTTTTTTTCTTGGTCTGCTTCTGATGGGTTCTTCAGGTTTATGAGTGTGCAATTCTCAGAGAACATGTCATTTATCCTGTTTAGCTCACCCTTTCCCTGTTGCATCGGAGAGAGCTGCAATGTCCCCAAAAGGATCCAACAAGGCATTGGGCTGTGGAGTCCTTGGTGCTCTCTGAGCCCAGTTCTTTGCTTGGAGACCTTTCATTACCCAAGTAGGTAACAACATCAGTAACTCTTCTCTTGAGACATTAGACCCAGCCATGCTGGCTGAGGTGTTCTGGGAGTGTATAAGTCCACTTATCTTAAAGGTTGGGAAACATGGCATTAGACTGTAATGAAGTGAGGTAGATCCACTTCAAGGAAGCAGTTCATCCCATGAAGATAACAGGGCTCTTTTCTGAAGCCAGGAAGCCAGGTGTTCCACCTCAGGAAATCTGTCTGGGTGGACTGGAACTGCTTCCAACAGGTGTTCCAAGACCTGTCAGCCTTCTTCTCCTAGAGCTCCCAGGCTGGACATCAAGATGTGATGGAAATGCAACTCTCAGCCATCCTGGATGGCTAGGAAGTCCAAGAATGATAGTCCCCAACACATCTGAAGAGCCCTAGGTAGAGAACCTTGGTTTGTACTACGTAGCATCTCTACTCCAGCTGAAACACTGAAGGTCAAACCTAGCTACCTGCTTCACAGTTTGACTCTGGTTCCCAATGCAAGTTGAGGAGCACACCCATTCATCCTTCCTGAGGATTTTCAGACTGCCAAAAGCTTTGTGGCCTTCTCTTCCTTGGATGTGGTTAGCCAGGCTGCCTCAGGGCTCCTGTTTACAGTTTTGCAGCTGGGCCGGTCTGTTTCTGATAAGTTTCTCCCTGACCTTTATCATGCGCCACTAACACAGCAGCAGCATATTTTAGAGGTGAGCTCCTGTTCTAAATTATTTTCCCTAAGTAGTGGTTCTCAGAGAGGCCTGTAGGTGCTCCGGTCTTTTGGCAACCAGCCTACCTTTTAAAATAGCTCTACGTACGGTAGATTTATGCTTCTGGTTTTCAGGACAAGACTCTCCCTCCCTCCCCCATTCTTTCTATTTTGTCCCTCCAACCATAATTTTTATGTCCGTCAAAACCACGTGAAAGGCGCCAGGCTTGAAAGACGCTTCCTGGTAGCAGAGGAGTGTCGGAATGTAATGTGTGTGTTGTGCTGTGTTCACACAGTCAGGGTTTGTGTTGGCTAGATGCCACCTGGTTGCTTCAGAGTTTCCTGTAGGTGAGGAAACTGCATCCTTTGGGAGAAGGTGGCCCATCACGTGCCTTGAAATTGCATCATCATTGGACAAAATCCCCTCCGTGGGGGGGAAACCCCATAAATTAGAAGGCTGTACGAAGAGCTTTTCCTGCAGTGATAGGAGGAAGGATGGATGCAAAGTAGGAACACAGAAAAATCCTGGCCTTTAACACAACACGAGAGAATGGAGTGCTCTAGTGGGAGATTTGGGATCGTTGAATAAATACAGTCATTTTTTTTTTATTGGCTAGGAATGCATCTGCATGCATCCCCCCATAAATAAATGATGCTGTACCTTATAAATCTCCAGAAAACAGATGCTCACTTCAAAAGGAACCAGTCAGCCTGAGCAATTCCCTGGGGAAGCCCAGCTAAATGATGCAATGCTGAGATTTGGGGCTTTTATGCCTCTTCCTAACATTAGGGCAGAGATCTGGTTACACCAATGTGTCCCTGATAGTCTTCATAGTTTCTACTTTGTCTGTAAAATGACTCTCCAACTCAGTGATTTCACCAGTATGACAGAGGATAATTTGGTAAGAGTCCTCCCTAAATACAGTGTGGAAGATTCATTTAAAGTATTTATTTATCTTGACGTGTTTGTTGTATGTTTTCTAAGATGTTTTGTTACTCGGGAATGTAAATAGGGCTTCAGCACACCAGACACAGTGGAGTTGACATTCACATTCAGCCTGATTCTGCTGGGATGTGTTGCTATCGAAGAACAACAAAATGTTGACAAGCTACCAACACTAAAGGCCTATGAAGGCCAGGTGTGATTGACGTACATCTGGGCAAAGAGATAAATAGATGGAGCTCCCTTATTTTGAGCCAGCTGACCCAGAGAAGGCTAAATGCTGTGGGTGCCACCTCTGCTTGACAAATTCAAGGCATTGGACTTTCTCTGCCTTATGGGACGTTGGCTCCACTTCCCTGAAGTGAGGTTAGCTCCATCCTTGTCAATGTCCAGGAAGCCTCTCAAGAGTTTGGCTTTGTCATCCAGGTCTGGGGGTCCAGGGCACCGGTGGCAATCTAAAATGGCTCCATGGACAATTTAGAGCCCTGGTGGCACCATGGTTAATGTGCGGTATTTCAGGCAAACTCTGCCCATAGTCTGGAGTTTGACCTTGACCAGCTCAAGGTTGACTCATCCTTCCATCCTTCTGAGGTCAGTAAAATGAGGACCCAGATTGTTGGGGGCAACAAGCTGACTCTGTAAGCCATTTAGAGAGGGCTTTAAAGCACTATAAAGTGGTATATAAGTCTAAGTATTACTGCTATTGCTCTTCACTCTCTGCTGCTCTTTGTGGTTTGTCTATTTCAATGTAAATAATGACCTTTGATACTTTTATATTGATCATTTTTATATATTTGTTTTACTCGATTGTTGTATGCTATCCAGAGTCAGATTTGAAATATGGGTGGCCATAAAAACCTAATAAGTAAATTCAGTGCAATACTTTTCATCGTCCATGAACCATGAAGACCACTTATGAAAATTCAGGAGGAATCTGAGTAACTAGCAATTTTACTGACTAACCTTTTCTAACTAGCAATTTTTCTAAAAGGGTTTAGTAAACCCTTTGGTGAGCTGAACTCATGAACCCCTTAATGCCTCTTAATAAAATTCACCAGTCAGTAAGAGTACTGGCCAGATGCCTTCTCATTTCTGGCTGTCATGGCTTAGAATTGGTACTGAATTCTTATTATTCCCCTAGAAATTCCCTGCCAAAAGGAATAAAGACGAGTGAGCCATACAAGCCACACAGTAACTTAATTTTTCAAACACATTTCAGCCCCTGTACAGATAGCTGGAGAATCTCAGCCCTGAGGGGAGAGAGAGAGAGAGAGAGAATCTGCTCTCTGAGTCATGGCTTGCTCTTTGAAGCCAACACCCCCCTCCCCCAAAAAACCCCAGCCACATCTGATTTCCATTCTCCTCTTCCTTAGCCGTCTGACATTTTCATTCCACCCGTGTGGACAGTGGTAAATCCATCACTAGGTGAGCTACCCGTTTTCCGTGTGGAAAACATGTCACTCTCCATAGTGTGAGTTGCGGTCTCCCTTCTAAGTTGGGTTGCAATCTCAGTATTAAAGCAGTGATGATGATTTTTTTTAAAAAAAAAATGCAACAGGAACCTTCTGAGCCATCCTTCACTTTCTCCGGCTTTGCTTTTGAAAAGGTCTCGTAAATCAACCCGCCAATGACAATATTCCCTGCTCCCATCATGTGTGGCTCATTAGCTCCAGATTTATGGGACGCCTGGTGTTTTCCCTTCCATCTGGAGGATTCTGCCCCGCAGAGGGAAAGCTTACCGATGGCCGTGGGTCACGAGGAGGGCTGAAGCTGCCTGCCGTTCCTGGTGTCAAAGGCCACGTGTGGCAAGCAGTGAGTGGAAGGAGCCACTGCTTCGTCTCCTAGAGTCACAGAATGCACAGAGAGTCGGAAGGAATGGTTGAGCCCAGCCTTAATTTGTCCTGGGAGATGACCACCTCATTCCCGCTTGGGGAAGGCAGCCTTCTTGACTGGTCATGGAATTAGAAAGGCTCCCTCAATCAGAATCTGCCTTCCGAAATGTTACTGTTCCCTGTCCTGAAATCTAGAGCAAAAGAGAGCCAGCCTTACCTGCTTCTGTCTGATGCGCTTTCAACTATTTTTTTAAAAGGTGATGACTTACATTGAATTTAGTTTCTAAAGGCTAAACCAGGATCCAATCTGAGTCGGTCTCCAGGACTAAAGGATTATTCTTCCAAGCTTTTGGCCTCATGCTGGAGCGCATCCTCAGGGAAATTCTCTCCCTCCCTCCCTCCCTCTCTCTCTCTCTCTCTCTCTCTCTCTCTCTCTCTTTCTCTCCAGAATATGTGTGCTGAGTTCAATTAGACCCAGCCTTTTTGTTTATAGCAGCTTTGAACAGAGGTGGGATTCAGCTGGTTCTGACCGGTTCCCGAGAACCGGGAGCGGAAATTTTGAGTCATTCAGGGAACCAGCCAATCGCACCTCTGACTGGCCCCGCCAGCCCCATCTCTTCTCTGCTTCCCATCGAGTCCCAGCTGATCGGCTGGGTCTCCTTTGGTTGCCCTGCACAGGAGAATGGAGCAGGAAAGCAAGTTAGTGGGGATTTTGCAGTAACCTTCCCCTGCCACGCCCACTAAGCCATGCCCACAGAACTAATAGTAAAAAAAAATTGAATCCCATCACTTTGAAGGTAGTTTGCAACAAACTAAGAAGACAGAACATAAACAATAACAACTGAACCAAGCAGTTGAAATCAAAGCCAACATTTAAAATCCATGTCATTGAAAGGCAGTTATAAACTTGGCACAATTTTTCTAGGGATAGCAAAATGTACATCCTTAGGGTGCAGTCCCCATTCATACTCTGAGTAGGCCTAAGTATGGATTTTGCCATGAAGTTGTATATATTTACAAATAAGTATCGTTATAAGTGAATGTCAATCTCAAAGTTTATTCTAAGTGTTTTTTTTAATCTTTATCTTTGAAATCATTAATTATCAAAGCATGCACTTACGCAGGCATCAAATGTAAATGCAAATGTAATGTGGGAACAGTATGCTTAGCCCTAGTCTTCCTCAGAAATAAAGCCTTATGTTAAACTATCCAATAAATGAAATAACTACCACCACCCCAAAAAAAGGGAAAATAATAATAATCCGAGGCCGTTGGGTGGGGAATGGGAGGAGGACACTGAAGAAATGGAAGACAAAATGTAATTTTTTTAAGATATTCATGCATTTTATTTACCCACAATTATATATGTTTTAAGATATAGATAGTACATCCAGATAATGGATGCTTCTTGAGGAGGCAAAAACATTTTTAATGTTATTGGGACTTTTAATATATCTGAATTTTAATTTTAAATATAGCTGCTGATTGCATATTTTATTTTATTGAATGTGATTAATGCTTGTTAAATACTTTACCTTCTTTCACATCGGATTTTAGTACAGTGAGAGCCAGGAAAAATCTTGTTCTTTGAAAGGATGATGATCAGTGTTTTAAAAAAACTAACATTGTCTCGTGCAGATCTTGCCCATGCCTGAAATTGATGCAAAATGGTTATTTATTCCTGGGATTGCTGTGGGGGCAAACAACACCTTTCAGCTGGGGGGGGGGCTGAAGTGGAGGGAAAACGGGGCTCCTGTCCATGTTTGATGGCAGCCCCTTCCTCAGTGTAGGTCTGGGGCTGCGGAGAGGATGGTGGAGGTTTAGTAATGGATGGTCTCATGCTTGCATTGAGGTTCTCGGATGCTGATGTAATAGAGAAGTGAATGTATAAATATAATTTAAGTCAAGAATAACAAAATCATCCGATCCTAAGACCCATTTCTAAATGAATTGCAGATATTTTGGCCCGCAGCAAAGGAAAAAGTGGATTTATGTAAACTAGCCGGGAAAGATGCCCATGTAAGTATATTGTTTTTTCTTTCCCGCTCGGTCTTACGATTGCAATCTGTACATTGGGGGAATCGGGGGACTTGAAATGAATGTGGTTGTTAACGCCTCTTTTATTTGATCTCTAGCAAAGCCTCAACTGTTGAGCTCACGGTGGGGTTGGCATAGCACTGTCTCTGAGGGTTATGTCTGTCTGACTCATGGTTTACTCAGCCCGGTTTGCGCCAACCCTGAGACAGAGAAGGGGCTCGTTGGCTGCACTTAAAGGGCTGCCGTCCTTCACCACGAAAAGAGACTCATTAATTTCTCCTGCAGCAATAAATAAAACGATTAGTCAAAAAACGTTGCCACCGTCAAAGCAGGAGCCATTTTTGTTGGGATTAATGCTCCGCTGAAGATTTTCTCTGCATTTCTCAATGTTTTTGAATCCCTTTGCTGCTGATGCCCACGGGGCCTAAAAGAGGATGCTGCATTCAGATGTTGGTTTGGCCAAGAATTTCATGGCAGCTCCATCACGCAAATGAAAATCAGATAGAAGAAGAAGAAGAAAAATAAAAGCATTATTGCCATTTTTCATGGAAAGCCCACTTGAATGTATTCTTTGATCTCTCCGAGATTTATTATTTCACAGAATTAAGAGTGGATAACTTGAAAAGGGTCTTAGAGATCATCTAGTCCAGGAGATATAAAAATAACTATTCAACCTCTTCTTATGCTCCCATTAGAAGCTACCACCTGTTGAAGGAATCTATTATTGAACAGCTTTTATCATAGGACTTTTTTCTTGATGCCTAATCAGAATGTCACAGTTGAAATCAGGGAGGGCCAACTGTGGCAATTTTAAGACTTGAGGACTTCAACTCCCAGAATTCCCAGATAGCAAGAACGGCTGGGGAATTCTGGGAGTTGAAGTCCACAGGTAATGTTGTAATGTTGTTGTTGTTTCGTCTTCTGTAAAAGAAATCGGAATAATTCTGTCCTACCTTCTTTCTACAAGACGTTAGACAAAGTTATCATGGCTCTTGTGGGTTTCTCTTCTTTGCAGCCCAACTGCCTTCAACCCTTCTGTTCTTTGAAATGAAATCTCTGATTAAGCTGCAGTTCATTGGTGGCCTTCCTAAAATGTGATGCCCACGATTAGACACAAGGTTTTGGGTGCAGCGTGACCAATGCATAATGAAGAGGAATCTGAATGCTTTCTTTTTTTTTAACTTCTATTCTTTAATTTCACTCTCCTTTTCTCTTTTATGTTTCCATCTGGTATTCTGAATATTTGTTACTTTTTGCTAGAGAAAAAAGACCCTTTCATCATGAATCCCCTAGTGACATTACAATACGTGGAATGTTGTAATGGAAATGTTATGAAGATGTAATTTGCTTCCAGAGGCCATTTTAGGATGGTCCGGAAGATAGGAAGGAAGGGAAAGGAAGGTGGAATTGGATATTTGGCAACCTGCTTCTTCTCATACATCACCTGTTTTTTCCCCCTTCTTTTGTTTTCAGCTTATGTTGTCCCTCTTCAAAGCCAATGTTGAAACCTCTTCAGTAACATCAACCACCAGCTCTTTTCCCAGACTCCCACACAATAAATGACTTAAATTGGTTTTCCAGCTGGTTGTCCCTCCTTTGAGGGCAATCTAGCTGTCGAAAATAGGCAAATTGTAGGCAAATATTCATTATGATGCATTTGTTTGATGCAGCTGCCGAAGGCGGCTCTCTCCCTGTCCTGTCTAAACTCCATCCACCTCTTCTCTCTTGCTTTCTTCTCTCTCTTTCTCTCTTTCTCTCCATCCCTTCTCATGGCAGATGGTCCAGATGAACTTCCCCTGACATCTGCAGGTGCCATTTGATTCCTAGGCTGCAGGAAACTTCATATCGTCTCAAGGCCCAGGAACAGTGGTGGAGCCAGCCTCCCCTCTCCTGCATGGATGTTGTTTTAGTTCACCCTTGTAGAACTAGCCAGATAAGGGTTGCAGCATCCTTTTTTTCCTTGGGCCTCGGCATCCCTTCTAGACCAGGGGTCTCCAACCTTGGCAACTTTAAGACTTGTGGACTTCAACTCTCAGAGTTCCTCAGCCAAGTGGACCACCCTGGTCTAGACCTCATCCTTTGGAACGAGCAGGTGACTGGTCAAAGAGCTGCCTGTGTTTCACAGAGACTCCCTCGACTACAAAGCCATGCCAAATATGACCCATCCTGCTCAGCTAAGCATGGGGATTTTGTCCGGTTGGAAAAACATGACCCAGCCAGTTCTGGCCACTCCACCCACCACCTCCTGCATGGATCCATTTACTTGGACTTTTTCTTCCAAGTCTCCATGGGCCCAGCTTTTACAACGTGCCTTTTGCAGCTCCGGCTCACTGAAAGTCATGCTTTTGGTTTCTACTGAGACCAGTGACACGTAAATGTGGAGTTCATGTAGATGTTTCCCATTGTGGGCCACTCCAGAAGGGATGTGGATAAAATGGATTTGTAAAGTGAATTTGGGGCCAGCTTGCTGGTACTTTTGCTCTGCGGCTCTGGCATTTCTGTCCAACTGGGATGTTTTTGAGAAAAGAGAAAGAAAATTGCCTGAGGATAGTCAAGCCAAAGAGTTCTGGCCATGAGGAAGAAGTTTGCTTTAAAAAAAAAAAGAATACCTCTAGTATCTCTATCCATATTTCTTGGAGAATAGGGGATTTGCTGCACAGCAGGCTGCGAAATACATCCAACCTTGAAATGAAAGTTATTAAAAGGAAAACCAAAGGATGGAAAGGTTGTGTAGGCTGCTCTGCCTGGAAATGCCCCCCCCCAGTGTGATTAATGTATAGGATGAAACCTCCGATAAGGCAGCCTTCCCTTGCGCTCCCCTTCGAACAAATATTTTTAATCAGGGCTCTGACCCACCAGACGTTGGGGAGGCCACGGGATGACGGCAACCACCAGGCAGAAATGCTCAGATGCCCAAGTGTGACAAACCCTTGGCTTAGAGGGAAAGGGGCAGCCCTTGGTGCAGAGTGCAGGGAGCAGGTCCCCAGCTTCCTCCACCCGCCCTCTGAAGTCAACAGGAGTCGGGACTCCCCCAGGCACCGTCTGTGCCTCAACTCTTTTTTCGATTTCTGCTGGAAATCGAGCCAGGCCTGAGCAGAAGACACTGAGAAGAGAAGGCTTCCACATGGATACGAGAGCAAAGAGCCAAATTTTTGCAGCCCTCCCCTCTGAAGAGGGTTGAAAGGAGTGGCCGGTTCCCACAGGGCAAGTGGAAACCTATCCTAGATCCCCTTTTAATTCAAGAAGGTGGGGAATGAAAGAAACCCAAACATTGAAGCCAATCTGGGGAGCGATATTTTTGTAACACTTCTGAGAAAAGGCTGCTTAACGTCGCCCTTCTTTTCCTGCTATCGCCTGTTCCTGCCACCTCGTGCTGCACGTGGCCTTCTTCCTCACTCAGTGGCTGACTCCAGACATTCTGCCCATTTGGTCTGACCTTGTTCTAATTCACAAGCAAGCCCTGTTGGTTGAGCTTTCAGGGGTGCAATAAACACGTGGATGTTCAAAGAGACCAGTCGGGTTTTGTTATCCTTTCCGTCCCCTTGTAAGCCTCCTTTCTTGGGAGGACACCAATGCTTTATTGATTCAGGCCACACAAAAACTCCCAAGCAGGGTGTGAAAGCCAGGGGTCATTTTTAGATATAATGAACCCTGTTCACCAACTGGCAATCTTGTAAGAGAAACGCAATTGCTCAGGTTCTCGGTGTCTTCCCTGAGTGTTGCGTAGCCTATTGAACTGCCCTCCGGATGTTAATAGCAGTTGATGTTGCCTGTCCTTCTTTTCACAATAGACAGAATGTGCCAACTTTATCAGGGTCCTTCAGCCTTACAACAAGACTCACGTTTACGCCTGCGGCACAGGAGCGTTTCACCCAGTCTGTGGCTACATCGACCTTGGAACACACAAAGAGGTAATTTAATCCTTCCCCAAATGGACCATGACTTTTCCTAGCATCCATCGTTTCCATGGAATTTTCTTTGAAGAGAGAGAGAGAGAGAGAAAGAGAGAGAGAGAGTGTCAGTCAGTCAATCTACGGTCTTATAAAAATGAGGGTTTTTACCAAACCGTGTAAGAATTTATATTCTCAGGTTTTTGAATAGTGGTCTGTTGGCAAACCTCAGATGAGGTGATTAATGTGGTTTGGTACAGACGTGCTTTTATTAGGTGATTAATGGTCTCAAGAGCACAGTTTAGCCCCTAAGATGCCTTACAGGACCTTTGGGTAGCAGGGGGTGGCAGTAAATGAAAGGAACCCCCCCCCCCCACAATCCTTTTGAATAGGGCTGTGGGCAGAGCCTTCCCTCTGAAGCTCCACCATTCTGCTTCTGGTGCCTGCTGAGCCCAGATTCCCCTTGGAGCCCCTCTGGGTATTTTGTCCGTCTCTCAGTGTTATGGATGAGAGGTGAAATTAGAATTACAGAGTCCATATTCAATGGAGGGGGAGGGCGGGAGGGGGAGGAGGAAGAAGAAGAAGAAGATTGTGTTGCCAAACATCTGCTCTGAAATCGAAAGGCGGTCATCATCCCACTAAACAAAAAGAGAAAGCAAAGTAGAAATGCTGCATCTCTGTTGTCTTAAAACGTTTTTGTTTCTGCATAAAGAAATCTACAGTAGCACCACTTTTTTTTCCTGTTTTGTTCTGTATCTCGGAAAGGCCAGATAACTGCTCTATTAATTTTGTTAATTATCAAGAAATATGACCACAATTCCTTGGTGGTGTCTAGACTCTAATCTCAGGGCTGTGGGTCCTTCCCTCTGTAGCTGGCGGTCAGCCTTGGGGATACCTGCCGATAACGTTCCCTAGGAAAAATAAATGTCTGGCTGGAGAGCAGATTCCTTTCGACCTGATTTTAAGCTTTTCTAGATCCTTTTCCAAGAAGTTTGCATATTTTTGCACAACGAGATTACGAGTCTAGGCTGGCTGCCACTAAAGTTCATGCCAAATTTAATCTAAATTCCATAGAAGTCTCTTGGCCGTACCTATACTAAACACATCGAGGTCAGTGCAGAAGGGTTGGAAGCTGTCACCGTCCTGTTCAGTTTGCTAAGTTTCCTAGAGAAATCTGGCCAGCTGAAAGTTCTCTAAGGTAAAGGTAACGGTTCCCCTCACACATCCGTGCCAGTCATTTCTGGCTCTAGCGGGTGGTGCTCATCTCCTTTGCAAAGCCAAAGAAGAGCCAGCGCTGTCCGAAGACGTCTCTGTGGTCAGGTGGCCAGCGTGAATAAACGCCTTCAAAGGCACACGGAACGCTGTTCCCTTCCCACCAAAGGGGTCCCTATTTTTATACTTGCATTTTTTTAATGTGCTTTCGAACTGCTAGGTGTTCAGAAGCTGGGACAAGGAACGGGAGCTCACTCCGTTATGTGGCACTAGGGATTCGAACCGCCGAACTGCCGACCTTTCTGATCGACACGCTCAGTGCCTTAGCCCCTGAGCCACCGTGTCCCACACATAGATAGCTCTCTGCGAGGGCCTAATTCTGTGAGAGTCATAGCCATCCAAGTCTGAAGGTCCTTCCCTGGTCTTTCTTCTGGGCAGCATTAAAGAGATGCCGTCTTGGAGATTCCAGACGGCCAACACCATTTGTAGCCCTTGATTCTTTCCCCTCTGCAACCCTTTTTATGCTCTGACCTGGGAAGGGCACCGTTTAAAATGATGAATTTGAATCGAATGCATTATAAATGAGTTGGGCCAATTGGAAACTGGAAGGATCACAGCTCCAACATTGCTGGAGGTTGTTAGCTTGTGTAACTTGGCTCTGTTCTGCATGAAGCATAGCTAAATTGCTCTGGCACCCTCCGTCCTTTCTGAAAACTGAAAAAATACTTTTTCTGGGAAGTGTTTAAAAGCCTGTTTTCTTTTGCAGTATTTCTTTTATTCTGTCACTGCTGGACAGGTAGGTTGTATTTGAGGCTGTCTTGATGTCACCAGAAAACGAGCAGGGAAAGTGCTAACCGGCCTAGCATTGGTCTAAAATACACGTAATTATGTGTTTGGTTATAATTATGTCAGTGTAGTCAATGGATGTGTCCGCAAACCAAATTAATCATGTCTCCACTTGCACCCAATTGGCATTTTCCCCCCAGGCCTCTTGCTAGACTATTGCGTTCAACTCTTTCCTGGCCCATCCTCACCTGTACCCGTGTTAAAAGAGAATATTCTTTTAGCAGACAAGGGTTGTATCTGTAGAGCTTTGTGTCAAATCAAGGAAGGGTGAAGAGCATTTGAACAAGGGCTCTTAGGAATTGGGCTTCTTGAAATAGAGACCTACACGCAAGCCATTCATTAGTTGTAGACATCTGTGGAGCAGGTTGAAGCTCATAATCCACTCTATTTCTTCTTCACTTCTCTATCTTGCTTCAACTCCAAGAGGAAGTACATAACACTCTTTCCTCCAATATTCTCTCCCAACAGAGGAAGAAAAGGTAGGGCTGGGATTGAGTGTCCGGCCCAAATCAGCAAACCAATCCTTATTTCATTCTTCAACACAGTGGCTAAATTAGTAGACCAGCAAAATACTGTGGAGATAATATATTTAGATTTCAGCAAAGCATTCGACAAAGTAGACCACAACCTACTTCTTAGTAAGCTAGAAAAAAGTGGAATAGATAGCACCACCACTAGATGGACTCGCAACTGGCTGGCAAACCGTACTCAATGAGTAGTCCTTAATGGATCTAAGTCTACATGGAGGGAAGTAAGCAGTGGGGTGCCACAAGGTTCCGTCTTAGGCCCAGTACTCTTCAATATCTTCATTAACCACTTAGATGAGGGAATAGAAGGGGAACTTGCCAAATTTGCAGATGATATTAAGCTGGCAGGAATAGCTAACACCCAAGAAGATAGGCTCAAGATCCAGATGGATCTTGACAGACTAGAACACTGGGCCATATCTAATAAAATGAAATTCAATGTAGAGAAAAGTAAAGTCCTACACTTAGGCAAGAAAAACCAAAAGTACACATATAGACTGGGTGAAACCAGGCTCAATAGCAGTAACTATGAGAGGGATCTTGGAGTCTTAGTGGACAACCAGCTAAACATGAGCAAGCAGTGTGCAGCAGCAGCCAAAAAAGCTAATGCAATCCTAAATTGTATTAACAGAGGCATACAATCAAGATCAAGATCAACTAATGCCACTCTATAAAGCCTTAGTAAGGCCCCACCTAGAGTCCTGCATCCAGTTTTGCTCACCACATTATAAAAAAGATGTTGAGACTCTAGAAAAAGTACAGAGAAGAGCAACCAGGATGATTAGGGGACTGGAGACTAAAACATACAATGAACAGTTGCAGGAACTGTGCTTGTCTAGTCTAGGGAAGAGAAGGACCAGGGGAGACATGATAGAGGTCTTCCAATATTTCAGGGGCTGCCACAGGGGTCAAGCTATTTTCTAAAGTGCCTGTAGGCCAGACAAGGAATAATGGATGGAAACTGAACAAGGAGAGATTCATCCCAGAAATAAGGAGGAATTTTCTGACAGGGAGAACAATCAACCAATGGAACAGAAGTTGCCCTCAGAAGTTGTGGGAGCGTCATCACTTGAGACTTTCAAGAAGAGATTGGACTGCCATTTGTCAGAAATGGTGTAGGGTCTCCTGCTTGGGCAGGGGGTTGGATTAGATAACCTACAAAGTCCCGTCCAACTCTGATTATCTCTTATCTGTTAGCTCCGGGACCTCCATGGCTGAGGTGCCTCCTGGGTCTCCTCAGTCCTAGATCAACAGTGTAATGACTGACTCTCTTTGAAATCCAGACTTCCTCCCACCTGAAGCATTGAACTAACGGATGCATCATCTCCTTCCTGTGCAGGATGTCCTGTTCAGATTTAATACTCACAACTTGGAATCCGGCAGGCTGAAATGTCCCTTTGACCCACAGCAGCCTTTTGCATCGGTCATGGCAGGTAAGGACTCCACTTCCAAGAGGTGGTTTTTCAGTCCTTTGGCTAAGACGGATACATTTTTTGAGTTTTTCTTTTCTTTTAAAATGTGATACTTTTTTTATTCTTTTCTGCTGGACCCGTTAATAACTAGACTGGGTGCCCATGAGATTCTCACTCACCCAGGTCCTGGTTTTTCAAGAGGGAACTGGACTTTCTTGTTTTTTCCTTGAAGGCTTTTCTCTTCTCATCCAAGAAACGTCTTCAGTTCTGGAGCTCCTTGGATGGGAA